TGAGGTCAAGAGATTGAGACCATCCTGGACAACATGATGAAACCCATCTCTACTAAAAATACAAAAATTAGGTTGGCGTGGTGGTGCATGCCTGTAGTCCCAGCTACTTGGGAGGCTGAGGTAGGAGAATAGCTTGAACCTGGGAGGCGGAGGTTGCAGTGAGCTGAGATCATGCCATTGCGCTCCACCCTGGCGACAGAGCAAGACTCCATCTTAAAAAAAAAAGTTTCTAATAGAAATGACACTTTGAAATCTTCAGCTGATGTCAGTGGCACACACTCTCAATGTGACATTCAAGAAAAATTGAGGCACAGCATTCCTAGTCATATGTACATACTTTTGTGGGCAAGAAAGATAGTCTCCTTCATTTTAGTTTATTCTGAATTTCTAGAATAGCCCATTATGATATTGAGACAGAAAGTGGTTAACAGGAACATTGTTTCCCTTTGGAGGACTCACCCAATAGCAAAGAATTAGCTCTCTCAGTTGTGTGTAGTTTTATCTGGATATATTCTGATCCTGATTCCAGAGAAAGCAAGTATTAGAAAGAACATTAAGATGTTTTTGTATGACTTCCTTATTTTACAGATGAGGAGACTGAATTCCATGGGAGTACCCTAGCCACAGAGCCTTGCAAGTGGTAGAGCCAGAATTTGCCTCAGGTCTCCTAGGGAGCCACTGCAGTGCATTTCCACCACACTGCACTGCCAACCATTAATGTCCTCTTGTGTTTGCCACAGTGTGGGCACAATGGGGGAAAACCCTGCTGACAAAATCATCTTCGGAAGTACAAGACAATGCATCTATGTCTGTGTATACATAGTGGCCACAGACACTTTTGCTCCAAGATCTTTGTGGTTTACTTGCTGCCATTCTACAGTCTCTGGGAAATTTGTTGTGAGCCTTTCTAAAGTAACCGAGAACCAATGCACTGATTTTATCTTCTGTAGCAGATGGTAGAGACATAAGCATCAAAGCAACAGCGGGGCGACGTAAAGGCCCTAAGCAAAATACCGGACATTTTAATCTAATGTAGACTGCATCTGTTCTCATGCCAACAGTTTTTTTTTTTTCCTTTGCCTTTTGTTTACATTGTTCCATCTAGTTTTTAAAATGAAGCAAGTAGTATTTTCCTTCTGTATACTTTAAAAATATTTGTTATTATAAAACAAAACATCCATACAGAAAAGTGAAAACATCATAAATACACAATTTAATGAATAATACTAAAGCATACTGCCTCACCCTCATAATCACCCAAGAAATAACGAGATTGTCAGCACCCCTGTCCCTTCCTGATTCCAACTCTTTCTCCCTCTTCGGAGAAAGCCATTAGGCTGAATTTTGTGATACTAATTCAGATTATATTATTTCTATTTTGAAATCTCAACATGTGTACTTCACTTAGAAAAGTTTCAAATTACATATACCTTCACTGTCTTTCTAGACAATGTGCTCTACATTGACAGATTCTTTTTTAAAGCACGTTGGAGATATAAGTTAGAATTCCACTGTATCAGGGTTTTTATTGTTGATGTTGAAACAGTCTAATAGTTTCTTCTTAGGAGGTAATCAGTCTCTTATATCTGGCTGCTTTTAGGATTTTCACTAAGATATGTCTAGATGTGCACACTTAAAAAAATCTGCTTGTGAATTGTTGGGATTCTTGAATCTGTGGAGTGTGACTGGGTTCTAACTAATTTTTCCAACCTATCTACTGGTTCACTAATTTTCTCTTTAGCTCTGTCTGATATATATTAAACCTATCAATTGAGTTTTAAACTTCAGTTAGTGCATTTTTTTTTTTTTTTTGCTAATTCTTGTTGGTTCTTTCTCAAATTAGTTGACTTCAATTTTCCTGTGTACTGCAGATATTATTACAAATTTTTCTTTTATTTGCTTAAACATAATTAGTTTAATTATTTTGTTTTTGGGACCTGATAATTCAAATATATAAATTGTGGGTTTGTTTTTATAGTTTGTTGTTTCTATTGTTACCTTGTTTTCTAGGTCTCATTTTTATAATGTGTTTGTCACTGAATGTACGTATTATTTGTAGGGATTTTTTTGAGGCCTAGGATGTAAACCTTTTCTTTTCTTCTTTTAATATTTTATTACACTTTAGGTTCTGGGATACATGTGCAGATCATGCAGGATTGTTGCATAGGTACATACATGGCAATGTGGTTTGCTGCCTCCATCCCCCTGCTGTCATCTATATCTGGCATTTCTCCCCATGTTATCCCTCCCCAACCTCCCTCCCCTCCCTCCCCATAATCCCCCCCAACAGACCCCAGTGTATGACGCTCCTCTCCCTGTGTCACAGGGAGGGGATGTAAACCTCTTCTTCTTATAATAGTTTGCATTTTTACTTTCAAAAGCTGAGGAGTAATAAAATGCAAATTATCTTAAAGAAAATTCAAGAATTGAGGTCTTCTACACCATTGAAGTCCAGAAGATTTTTCTGGACCATCTACTCTGAATGAGGTCTGGTTTATTTCTGGTTTAACTGTGCTCCAAGAATGTAACTCTTTGGGATCTCAGTTTTCTGGGGAGGTGGTTTTCTGCTAGATCCCGTGCTCTGCAGATTCTGGGAGTTGAGACAAAAACAAAAAGTTTGAATTTCAAAGAACAGCAACTGCCTTCCGAGTAAATCAGCTTCCAAGCTTTGCTTGTCTCTTCAAATTTAACCTGGTAGTTTCTCCTCCTTTGTGTCACTCTTTTAATGCTTTTAATTGTATTTTTGGACATTTGTTTAACATTTTTGGTTGTTTTTGGTGTGAGAATTAGTTTGAATAATAGGCACTGCTATAACTGAAGACTAGAACACTTGTGCTTATTTTCACAATCAAATCACCCAAATTGAAGATCTATAGGGGAAATACAGATTGAAGCTTAGGGATATTAAGAAAATAAGTAATTGTGAATCTTAAATAAAATTAAGGCAACTAGTGTAAACAGAGGTGTGAGAAATAGCTCCTCCTGCATAATGCTAACCCTGCTATAAATTTCAGAAAGCAAAATAGTAATACATAGTATTATAACTTTTAAACATTTTGACCAAATGTCATAATATTTACATAAAAGTAAAACGCTGAAAATAACCCCAATTTACAACATTAGTATTTTAGTTTTAACAAATTATAATAGATTAACATTATGGCCAATAATATAGTCATTAAAAAGGATAATTATGATGACTATGTAAGAAATGAAATGTTTATGACATAAAATGGCAATAGCAGAACACAAAATAACATGTCTGTGACAAATAATAAGTCTGTTTTTGAAAGATAAAGAGCAAAAGTATACAAATAGTATTTCTATTTCACTGTAGGACTAGGTAATTTTTTTCCTTAAACATTTTTTACACTTGTTATCTAGTTTTCTCAGAAACAAAGACCAAGATTTCAAAACTTAGGAAAAAACCCAGCATGCTAATAATTTTCCCAAACAGTTTCAGCATGAAAATTTGCTATATTAAAAAGGAAAATAAAACCAAAAAAAGGAAGGCAATGAGCAGTTTAAATTTATAGTTTCTATAATTATAATTTATAGTTTCTATAAATTCTAATAACTCAGAATCTGCAACCATCAGGGCAAGGCACTTTTATTTTTTTCCTTCTGTGATTCCTATGTAGCTTTCAAAAACAAACTTGGCTTCCTATAAACTTAAAATTATTTCAGAAAATGAAAAAGTGGGTCTGGGTATGGTGGTTCACATCTATAATCCCAGTGCTTTAAGAGGCTGAGGCAGGAGGATTACTTGAGGCCAGGAGTTCAAGATCAGCCTGGGCAACATAGTGAGATATGTCTCTACAAAATTTCTTTTTCAAAATTAGCCAGGTATGGTGGTGTGCACTGTATTCCCAGCTTCTTGGGAGGCTGAGGCAGGAGGGTCCCTTGAGCCCAGGAAGTGGCTACAATGAGCTATGATCATGCCACTGCACTGGAGCCTGGGTAACAGAGTAAAACCTTTTCTCTAAAAAGAAAAAAAAAAGAGAGAGAGAAAGTAAACAAAAATCTGGAGCTTATCTTTATTTTCAGGCCTTGATTCAGTTCTCAGTGGACGATGTTCAGAGAAAATACATTTCTATCATTTGAAAATGATTAGTCTGTTCTTTTACCCTCTAGCAAGAAGATATAACAGATGTGTGTATATATGTACGTATATGTATACAATTGTATGTAAATATCTACACATGTACTCTCTATATACTGTAATATACATATAATACATATATTTTAATACACATATAATCACACATATATATATATACAATTATTCATTTTTAAACTACTTTGTACTTTTACAAAGTGAGAAATTTCTATCTTTCCTTGTATCTGCTTAACTGGTGTACATCAGTGATTATTTACTCATCAACAGTACACATGGCTCTTGTCAGAGTATTGACCAATAGGCGGACAATTCCTTCCCCACAAGACATACCTACTAATAAATGAAGTTTTTCCTAAACTTCAGCTTTTCCCATATCTCTCTGTTTGGCTAAGTGCTACTCATCTTTTAATTCCAATTTTAAAACTCACTTCCTTAAGGTGACATTTTCTGATTCTGTAATCAAAATTATAGCCCACCTGACCTTACCACCTTTATTCAAATAATACTTCATTCCTATCACAAATTATGGTGCATTACTACATATTTATTCTTTTACTATCTGCCTCCAATATGAAAGCTACCGAAGGACAGGGACCATACCTGTCTGATTCATACTATGTAAATATATTATTTAATATTCAGTATATTCTATATTCACATATGACAAGCAAATTTCTGGTTAGGATTTTTTTTCTCTAGGACATAGTTGTACCTTATGTTCTTTCTTGAGGGGTGGAGGGATAAAGTGAAGCTGTTTCATTCTGGTGCAACAGAGGTGACTTTGTGCATAGGATAAATTACTTCTATGTTAAAATGTAATTATTAGGGCAACATATTTATAAAACGTCACTTTTGCTTTGTTTTCTTTCTTTTTATCCAGGAGAAATCAATGGTTCTGCCGATTATGAGATGTTTACATTTCACAACGGAGGTGTACAAATTTTATGCAAATATCCTGACATTGTCCAGCAATTTAAAATAGAGTTGCTGAAAGGGGAGCAAATACTCTGCTATTTCACTAAGACAAAGGGAAGTGGTAACACAGTGTCCATTAACAGCCAGAAATTCTGCCATCCTCAGCTATCCAACAACAGTGTCTCCTTTTTTCTATATAACTTGGACCGTTCTCATGCCAACTATTACTTCTGCAGCCTCTCCATTTTTGATCCTCCTCCTTTTAAAGTAACTCTTAAGGGAGAATATTTGCATATTTATGGTAAGACATTGCTTTCATCTTCCAAACTTAAGAGTATATACATATGTTTTGACAACTTTTCTCACTAATGAAAACAATTGGACAAATAAGTATCTTTTGTGTTGGAGTTCACTTAGATGCAATTGATGGCAATCATTTATAATGAAGATATACAGGTGATGATTTACAATGAATAATAATTAGTATTATTCAGCAATATGCAATTTAATCCCATAGACTGCTAAGTCAGAAATAGATCCTATTGCCTTTTAAACACACATGCCATTAAAAATCAGGAAAAAAATATTAAGACAAATACTTAAACTTATGACTTAATAATGGCTATTATCTCTGTTCACCTAAGATTTAAGGTTTGGTTTTGTACCGTGTTTCTGAATGAAGTGTGATGACTGAAAATCATAGTTTTATAATATTACTTTTACTACTACCTCTTTTGTAAAAAATATTGGCAGAAAAGCCCTTTCTATTAACCACATTTGTAAACACCTATGTGCATGGTCTTTTAAGTTTTTGTTCCTGGATCCTTGCCATAATGCTGAGATGATGTTAGTCTAATAACTTGCCCACTTACTGGATTTCATGACTATAGTAAAGAAAAGTTTCATTTGATTAAACAGCTCTTTTAAATTCGGTAAGAGAATGTGTGGTTCAGCATTGAAAGAGGAGATTTGATTCTCAGAATTTTTCATTAACATACCTTTTTTCCAATCCAGAATCACAACGTTGTTGCCAGCTGAAGTTCTGGTTACCCATAGGATGTGCAGCTTTTGTTGTAGTCTGCGTTTTTGTATGCATACTTATTTGTTGGTTTACAAAAAAGGTGAGCAATTTCTGTCTTTCTTTGTATCTGCTTTACTGGTGTACATGAGTAATTATTTACTCATCAAAAGTACACCATGGCTCTTGTCAGAGTAGATTGACCAACAGGCAGATAATTCCTTCCCCGCAAGACCTACTTAGTAATTAATCACTTGGAACAGAAGTTTATTTATTTGTTTTATAACCCACACATTCCAAAGAGGACTTGGCTTGATGGCTTACAGAGAGTTACATTATTATTATTATTGTTCAAACTAGATGAGGAAATTGAGACCAAGAGAAGACTAAAGGCCAGGAGGAAAGTTAAAACATAAAATAGATGCCTCTGATTTTTAAAAAATTATGATGTGTAAGCTGCAAGTATGAATCTAAGCTTCCTAAGAGGCAGAGCAGAGATGAAACAATTAGTTATAAGTTTTGCTTAGCTGGTAAGTTAAAAACAGTCAGCATGTCAATTGTAGCTTAGAAGGAAATAGACAACTTCTTGACATGTTAAGTTATTAGACTCCTTGCTTTGAAAGAAAACCAGTGAAGAGCTATTTAGAAAGATAAACAACAATGATAATAACAAAAATCTCCTTGTGCTGGGGGATATTCTTTTTGGTTTCTCACATTACAAGTTCTCAGTCAAAGAACTGACACCATTCTGCATGTTACATGGGTATGCTGGTACTCAACTATATCCACAGTGTGGTCATTGGCCAGTGTATATCTGTGGCAGACAAGAATTTGAAAAGAGAGATAAAGAAGGAAGAGAATGAGATGGGGCCCATGATCTAAGTTTACAGGGAAAGAAACAATAAAGGCAAAAATGAGAAAGAAAGTTCAGTAGAAAGCTCTTTTTATGTAAAGCCCTTTTCATATTGTTTTCCTAATTAGCCTAAAGCCAGGAACTGAAGTTACATTTTCATGTTTTTGTCACATACTACTTCAACAAAGAATAGAAAACAGTCAAAAAACAAAGAGATGGGGAAGAGAAGATGACAAACCATGTTTCCGGCTTTTTCTTTCAGAAGTATTCATCCAGCGTGCATGACCCTAATAGTGAATACATGTTCATGGCAGCAGTGAACACAGCCAAAAAATCTAAACTCACAGGTATAACTCTACTTGGGGGTTTGGGTAGGGAAGAGTTTTCTTCACAGTAAGCCTGGAATGTTATTTTTTTTTTTTTATTTTAAAGGAAAGGAAAACATCTCCAAGGTCTAATTCTAGTATTTTCTGTGAAAATCTGGATTTTTCACTTGCTTGTATATTGCTTGTATGTTGAAAACAAACAAGAAATAGGTTTGTAAGCCACTACTGAAACTAAACACACAAAAAGTTCATAAGCTAACATTGTATCAAGGCAATTTTCCAATTAATATTTCAAAAGCTGGGATGATTCTAAGTGTATCTTGTTGAAGGGTTCATTCAGTCATTCGATGAGCATTTATTGAATACCAGTTAAGTGTGATTACTGAGTGAGATACTCCAGGGAATTTGGACTGAGATTTGGACAGATGTATGTTAATTTTGGACTGAGATTAAGAAGAGAGATTTATGCTGGTGCTGCTAGAGGGAAGAAGGAGAAATTGATGAAGATGTTTGGTTATTTTGATGTAAAAAGTGTTCAAGTTTAGAGAAATTGGATGGCTTCAGAAGTCTCAGTAACGTGGGACTTTGACCTTTTCTGTTAAGAGTTAGAAAATGGAAAGTTGCCAGGTTTGAGGAGCACCCAGAAAGTTTGAAGCTTCCATTGTGGAAAATTCATGTCTTATACCCCTTGAGGTTGGAATGATGTGTGGTATATAATGAGACAGAAGCCACTTTATTTTTCCACCCCTCAGTGGCTATGGACTGTCTAAAGGGGGCACACGGCTTGCATTATCATGGAATTATACTATTGGATGGGAGCTAAAAAGGCCCTTGGAGTTCACTTCTCATTTTTTTAGGTGACAGAAATTGATGCCCAGAGTGTTCACTGACTCTTGGTTCCCTACAGAGTTAATACCATAGCTCTGACACTTGCAAAGTGCTTGTGTTTCATTACTTTGCTGTTGAAAAAATATATGATCTCTCAATCTTTGTGCTGAATGTGTTCTTTCTGTTTGGATCCCCACAAGCAGAACCTGAGATAAGGACTCGGGTGCAAGTAGTTTATTTGGGAGTTGATCTCAGGAAGGAGGAGTGAGGGGTCAGGGAGAGTGAGACAGCCAACAAGGAGAAGCAAATGAAGGGTGCATTATTACCAAGGTTTCAGCTCCAGGCCAAAGAGACCTGACATCATTGGATCTCTGATAAGTGTACAGATGCCTCTCAGAATTATTCTCCTGAAGGATGAGAACCACTGGCTCCATCCCTACTGATTTGGGGTTGCCTGCAGGGGGCATTAGCTTTCCCTCATCCCTGAGCTGTGCCTCTACTTGGAATGAGTCTTCATGAGATAGTCTGGAGGCAGAAAAACAGAGAAATGCAGTGGGGTGCACGCAGACCTGTCCATCCCATCTCCAGCTGAAATCAGAGGTGGACAGTTTCAAAGTGATGAGTTCAGGTAATGTCTGTTACAGGAGTTGAGAGCTTTCTTGGGAAATGGGGAACTGGTGCTGGGTCTTGAAGCATAAAGACGAGTTTACATGGTGTGTGTGTGTGTGTGTGTGTGTGTGTGTGTGTGCGCGCGCGCGCGCGCATGTGTATGAAAGACAATGGAAAGGAGAAAGCTTCTTGTAGGGAACTTGCACATGGAGAGCATTTAGAGAATTTATGCTGAATTTTTGTTACAGATGTGACCCTATAATCTGAAACTCTGACACCCAGGGATGAATCATGTTGGCCAGTTTTCCACAACTTGAAGCACAAGATTCTCTCATTTCCTGGACCATGGAGAGTCTGACTTGATTTAACTACATACATCTTCTGCCGGTGTTTTGTTCAATCTGGACGAGTGACTGTATCAGTCAACAGGAATTTTAACAGACTGCCTTGGTACTGCTGAGTCCTCTCAAAACAATCACCCTCTTGCAACCAGCTTTAGAGAAAGCCCAGCTCCTGTGTGCTCAACAAATAGATCTCACTGGGAGTGGAATCCCTGTCTCCACATCTGCCCCTAGCAGTGCACCAGCCAGCAAAACAAACACATTCACCAAAACAATGTTTTAAAGATGCCAGAGGTACTGAATCTGCAAAGCAAATGAGCAGCCAAGGGCCAGCATCTGTCCTCATTTCACTATCATACTACCTCTTCTTTCTATAGGGATGAGAATTCCTCTTTTCATCAGACAGTCAAGGGAGATGCTTCAGAACTGGAGCTATTTTATTTCTGAGATGTTGATGTGAACTGTACATTAGTACATACGCAGTACTCTCCTTCAGTTGCTGAACCCCAGTTGACCATTTAACCAAGACTTTAGATACTTTCTTGTGTCCTCAATTTTCTTTTTAAAAATACTTCTACATGACTGCTTGACACCCTACCAGCCACTCTCAATAGAGAGCTATGTCTTACATTCTTTCCTCACTGCTCAGATGTTTTTTGTATCTGTGCACACATATATACACACATATGCATATAAAATTCATAATGAATATATTTGCCTATGTTCTCCCTACAAGAATATTTTTATCCCAGAAAGACATGCTATTTTCTCAAATTCAGTGAAAATGGTTAACTTTGTTCAGGTTAGTGGTAGGAAACATTGCCTGGAATTGAAAGCAACTTTATTTTGTTATCCTGTTTTCTACCATTATCTATGTTTTTATGGTGCTATTAATGACAAACTTAACTCTTTTTGTAGAACATATTAAAACTGCATTCAAAATAATCTTTAATGGGCAAGCATTCTCCTGGGGTAGAGCAGATTATTCATTTAGCCTGAATGCTGTTGTAACTGTAGGTTGCTGTCAGACTATACCTGGGTTGCCTCTGGGCTTGACAGGTCAAAATGGTCCCCCTGAGCCTGGAGCAGCCCTCCAGACCTGGGTGGAATTCCAGGGTTGAGAGACTCCCCTAAGCCAGGGGCCACTAGGTTTTCTTCTTCCCAGAGGCTGATGTCACCCTGGGAATCACAGTGGGTCTACCTGCATTCATAACTCCAGGATCTGTGAAGCACACATATGTGTCAGGGCACAATTCCCTCTCCTAAAAACCACACAGCCCGAAAATGGCCCTGGCTCTTCAAGTTAGTCTTCTTAAGAATATGATTTGGCTAGAAAGAGTCTTAAATACATGTAATGTGATTATGCTTAGCTGGAATATTTTCTCAACTTCCTGCATGCCCAAGGCTTCTGAAGCAGCCAATGTATATGCAGCAACATTTGTGACTTTAGGTAAATTGGGATTATGTTGTAGTTTAACATTTTGTAGCTGCCTGTTTATAGCTTACAAGTGAGACCCAATGTGTCATTATGCATACTTATATTATTTTAAGCATGTGTAATGCTGGATGTGTACAGTACAGTACTGAACTTGTAATTTGAATCTAGTATGGTATTCTGTTTTCAGCTGACTTGGACAACCTGGCTGGCTTTGCACAGGTGTTCCCTGAGTTGTTTGCAGCTTTCTGTGTGTGGGGTGGAGTGTGGGGAGGACAGCCTTCATGGTGGCCCACCTGGCCTGGTTGTCCAAGCTGTGTCTTGATACATCCTCATCCCCAGCATGGGACATTTCAAAATAAATTATTAAAGGACAAAATTTCTGTGAAATCAAATCTGGTTTTAAGAGGAGCCACTTATCAAAGAGATTTTCAGCAGTAGTAAGAAGCAAAAGAATAAACATTTTGATATTCAGCAACTGAAAATACCTCACTGTGTTTTTTTTTGGGGGGGAGCAGGGAATTGATTACCTTAGCTAGCATGTACAAATTTGATATTGTACTTGAAAATAGTTACATTGCTTGGAATAGTTGCTTTCTTCATTTTCGTTTTTCTTTCTTTTTTTTAAATTTTGAAATAGCTATAAACATAAAACAGTTGGAAGCACAGCAAAAGAACTGTTCTTTTCCTGAGTAAGTTTCTGATCTAATGTCTTGTCACCTCTGAATGGTATTTTTTTTACAAACAAGAAAACTGCCCTTCCTAACTACAATATAGCCTTCAGATACATTGCTACCATCCCATCTGCAGAGCGCCTTCAACACCGGCCCTGTGCATTTAGTTGATATGTCTCTATCATGACAGTCTCAGTCTAGACTTCATGGCCTTGACACTTTTGAAGATGAAAACAGTTGTTTTGTGGAACATCCCTTGTTTGGGTCAGTCTGATGTTTCTTCATGATTAAAATCAGGTTCTTCACCTTGGGCAGAAATCACACAGAAATGATAATGCACTCTTTTAATTTCATTCCATCAGGCAGCTCACAGTTTTGATTTGTTCATTGCTGATAATGTTCATTTTAATCACTTGACTAAGGTGATGTGTGTCAAGCTTCTCCACTGCAAAGTAACTCTTGTTCCCCTGATATTTTAATAAATATTTTATAGGAAAGTACTTTGAAACTTTGTAAATCTTCTGTTCCTTGTGAAAATTTCAGTTTCTTTATTTGTTCATTTATATCTGTATGGCATTATGGCATCCTATTTTATTCAATAGATCAAAATTTGTTACTATCATTATTCTGTTTTGATACTGAAACTGCCCCATCCTTGGCCAGCGGGAGCCCATTCCAACTGGGTCTTGCGTCCTTCCGCCATGTCCCCAGTGTTCTCTCAGCAATCTTTTGCTTTCTGGCAGAACGAGCTAGTCCAGCCTCAGCTTGAGCTTTCACTGTCCCAGTGCTGGAACCAGCTTCTTCTCCAAGAACCCTGGTTTCTTTGAGACATGGTTTTAGAAGCCAAGATCCAGGCATTAGTTCTGCTCGTTGCTACTGGGATCTTACTGCTCCTATGTCCCATCAGTGGACAGAGCTAGGGATATAGATCTATCCAGATAGATAGATAAATACGTATATAAATATAAATGTAGATGTAAATGTGTGTGCATATGTGTATGTGTGACTACAAATATATATTTATATACAATATTATAAGTAGATGTAAATGTTTATATATGTATGCATCCACATCCACATTAGCCTATCTATCTAACTACTTATCTATCTTACCTAGAAATTCATGAGTTCACACCCAAGCCATTAATTCCAATACAGCACTATATGGTGATTCATTCTATACTTATCCCTTTCTTTTATTTATCCTTCTTCTTACAATGAGAAACCTCGCTTTTAGATCCTTACTACATGTATTATTTGATCAATCCCCTACCATGAAACCCACCTCCCATGTTCTTCCTCACTACTTCCCCATGTGGTTCCCCCCTCTCTCTGCCTCTGCTCTGACTTCTCATTCCAGGCCACCTGTTCCTGTTGCCCATTTTGCCCAAGTGGGTCTGCGTCTACCCATGCTGGCCTCTCCCACACCATGGATGCCCTTTTCACCCTGCTGGGGCTCCAACACCCCAGGTTGGGGCATTCCTCCTTGAGGATGCCTTCCATACCATGTCTGGGCCTGCTCAGGGTCGCAGTGGATTTCTGGGCTAGGGTGGATGATCCTATGGCCTGTGCTTTGCACCGCCTCTCACAGTATGCTGTGGTGATAAGTTCTATTGCCTACCGTGATCACTGGCTAGATACATGTTACTGGTAGATGTTCCTTCCCTGTCTCACGTTCCCACGTCTCTATTGGCATTTTCTTCACCTGCCATATAAACTTTTCACCCTGAACTTCTTGTCTCAGTGCCTGTTTCTAGAAGAGCTCAAACTAAGACACCTAACCTTTGCCCCTCCAAGCCCTGGGGAAATAAAGGATTTGCCACAGTTCCCTGGTGCTTCGTTCTTCCTTGTTTATCCCTTGACTTCTCCCATGCTTTTGGAACAATCCCTTCATTAGCCCTCTTCACTTAATTTTTTAAACTACTATGTATTTCTGTGGAGAATCTGACTGAATTGTACCAAAATATGGTCTGCTCCTTCTGCTCCATCCCCTTTCTACATCAGGACCCTGGGACCTGGAGTCCTCCCAGGGCCTCACCTCCTTCTGGTGGAGTCTCAGCTTGAAATCTGACAACTAACGTTCTCTGTTAGTTGTTGCATCTTTTACTTCATTAAGTCCACATTCTTCACAAAAGGGGACCATGTTCGCTTTGCATGCTCTAGGCCCTCTTCTACTTCCAGCTCACTCCATTGTTTTCCTTTTTTCCTGGTGAATAAGATTTCTCTTGGCACCACAGAAGACAGGCTGTACTCAGCCTAGTTGCTAGTTAAGCTTTGTTTGATGAAAATGAGGAACTGAGGAATCTGGAATTTTCTACGAGGATGAATGTATTAAAATCAACATGTAATCTCCTCCTCCAAGGTCTGTGTTCTCAGTAAAATGAGAAAGAGTGTGAATTCTCCAAGTCTTTTCCACAGAAAGGCAGGCTATGCTTTGGTGTGTTTCACTTTATGCAACGTCGTATTTCCCTCTACCTTGCTGATTAGTGCTTATGAATTCAGTGTATGAATCTTTTTTTTTTTTGAGATTATAAGGACTTTAGTAGCTGTATGTCAATAAGCAGGGAGAAAGAACAAATACATATTTCACAGTCACAACTTCTTACTATGCCATTTTGTTTGAGCTTAAAATTTGATGTAAATTTATATATAAAGATTTATATAATATGAAAATTAAAACCATGTAAAATATATGTATAGTATGATTCTATTTTATAAAAGCACATACATATATCAAGAATACATAGGAAAAATATGAAGGAATATATACTGTAGTTTAAACATTTTGTATACAGGAGTATTGTTCCTGGACCAAACTGAGGGTTGGGCTGCTATTTCTCATGGCCCAATAAGGAGATGCAGAGGAAGAGATGGGGAGGAAGAGAGTTTTTATTCCTCCATCCAGTTACAGGGAGAAGGCCTGGAAATTATCACCAGAGCAACTCAAAATTACAAAGTTTTCCAGAGCTTATATACCTTCTAACCTAAATGTCTATGTGTAAGTGTGCATTTATTGAAAGACGTTAGGGGTTAACTTCTTTTAATCTATAACTAGGGTCTGAGTCCTGAAGACCTTCCTCTGGAGCCTCAGTGAATTTACTGAATTTAAGTAGGTCCAGGTTCTGGGTTGATTACGCTTACCTTGTCTCCTGCTAAATCATGGAAGGGTTGAGGATTTCCTTGAGAACCTAAATAAACTTGTTTAATCCTGAGTGTGTCATGTTAACAATTCCTTTGTTATTTTGCCATGCTTTAAGGCCCAGGGAAGGCCTAGGCAAAACTCTTGGTAGGCTTTTGTTCCATCCCAGACTTTGTATAAGGGTACTGTTTTTTTTTTAATTTAAATTTGTGTGTGTGTGTGTGTGTGTGTGTGTGTGTGTGTGTAATTGCACTTTAGGTTCTGGGATACATGTGCAGAACAAGTAGGATTGTTGCCTAGTTACATACATGGCAATGTGGTTTGCTGCCTCCATCCCACCATCACCTGTATCTGGCATTTCTCCCCATGTTATCCCTCCCCAACCTCCCTACCTGCCACTATCTCTCCCCTATTCCCCTCCAATAGACCCCAGTGTGTGATGCTCCCCTTCCTGTGTCATTCAACGCCCACCCATGAGACACAAACTCATTATTTTTTATGGCTGCATAGTATTCCATGGTATATATGTGCCACATTGTCCTTGTCCAGTCTATCATCAATGGGCATTTGGGTTGGTTCCAGGTCTTTGCTATTATAAACAGTGCTGCAATGAACATACATGTGCATATGTCTTTATACTAGATCAATTTATAATCCTTTGGGTATATACCCAGTAATGGGATTGCTGGATCAAATGGAATTTCTATTTCTAGGTCCTTGAGGAATCGCCACACTGTCTTCCACAATGGTTGAACTAATTTACACTCCCACCAACAGTGTAAAAGTGTTCCTATTTCTCCACATCCTCTCCAGCATCTGTTGTCTCCAGATTTTTTAATGATTGCCATTCTAACTGGCATGAGATGGTATCTCAGTGTGGTTTTGATTTGCATTTCTCTAATGACCAGTGATGATGAGCATTTTTTCGTATGTTTGTTGGCCTCATGTATGTCTTCTTTTGAAAAGTGTCTGTTTATAGCCTTTGCCCACTTTTGAATGGGTTGGTTTGTTTGTTTCTTGTAAATCTGTTTTAGTTCTTTGTAGATTCTGGATATTAGCCCTTTGTCAGATGGGTAGCTTGCAAAAATTTTTTCCCATGCTGTTGGCTGCCACTTCACTCTAATGATGGTTTCTTTTGCTGTGCAGAAGCTCTGGAGTTCAATTAGATCCCATTTGTCTATTACGGCTTTTGTTGCCAATGCTTTTGGTGTTTTAGTCATGAAGCACTTGCCTATACCTATGTCCTGAATGGTTTTGCCTAGGTTTTCTTCTAGGATTTTTATGGTGTTAGGTTTTATGTTTAAGTCTTTAATCCATCTGGAGTTAATTTTAGGGTAATGTGTCAGAAAGGGGTTCAGTTTCTGTTTTCTGTACATGGCTAGCCAGTTTTCCCAACACCATTTATTAAACTATTTACTGCCTTGTTGTATTTCTAAGGCAGTGAGACAGACTGTCATCAAGTCTGCCAATAACTCCTAATACCAATCCTCTCACTCTTTTAGTCTTTCCAAATCTACCCATTCTTGTGTCATTTCAGGGACATGCCTTAACCATGGCTAAAAGTCATCCTTTCTCCCATAAGTTCCTTCACAGTGCTTGCTATAAATTTCATCCTTTTCAAGAAGCTGGAAGTTGTGGTCAGGCATGTTCACTGGGAACCTAGTCTCTGGGA